CCACAAGCTAAAAACGTGATTTTTCGTACAAACAGGGCCCATAATCCATGAAGTTTCAATCCGATACATGCCAATATCGAAAGGAACCGAGATCTTTTGGAGATAAACCTATATTTCAAGTTTCGTCAAAATCGGATCAGAATTGTGACCTGTAGAGTGTCCACAAACAAATTGTGGACGGACAGACAGGGGCGTATAAAAACTGTGACCTCAATAGGGTCCACAACCTTGATATACCATATTTTTACCCTATTTGAGAATGAACGGCAGCCATTTTGTCTGTCAATTTTGGGATGATTTTCACAAAATTCGAACTCAGCCGTCCTTAGGATGTAACGGTGATATAATAATACGTTTTTTTAATCAGATAAAAATTATGACCTCTATAGGGTCCACAAGCTAAAAACTCGATTTTTCGTACAATCAAGGGCCATAATTCAGGAAGTTACGGTCTGATATGCGCGAATATTGACAGGAACCGAGATCTTTGGGTTATAAACTTCAGGAAGTTACGTACCGATATGTGCGAATATCGAAAGGAACCGAGATCTTTGGGTTATAAACTTACATTTTAAGTTTCAAAAAAATCGTATAAAAATTAGGACCTCTATAGGATCCACAACCTTGATATACCATATTTTTACACTATTTGAGAACGAACGGCGGCCATTTTGTTTGTCAGTTATGGGTCGATTTTCACTAAATTCGAACTCAGCCGTCCTTAGGGTGTATCGGTGATATAATAATATGTTTTTTTTAAATCGGAATAAAATTATGACCTCTATAGGGTCCACAAGCTAAAAACGCAATTTTTCGTACAATCAGGGGCCATAATTCAGGGAGTTACAGTCGAAAGGAACCGAGATCTTTGGGTTATAAACTTACATTTCAAGTTTAAACAAAATCGGATAAAAATTGAGAACTCTATAGGGTCCACAACCTTGATATACCATATTTTTACGCTATTTGAGAAGGAACGGCGGCCATTTTGTCTGTCAATTTTGGGCCAATTTTCACGAAATTTGAACTCAGTCATCCTTAGGGTGTAACGATGATATAATAATACGTTTTTTTAAATCGGATAAAAATTCTGACCTCTATAGGGTCCACAAGCTAAAAACGCGATTTTTCGTACAATCAGGGGCCATAATTCAGGAAGTTACGGTCCTATATGCGCGAATATCGAAAGGAACCAAGATTTTGGGGTTATAAACTTACATTTCAAGTTTCAACAAAATCAGATAAAAATTGTGACCTCTATAGTGTCCACAAGCTTGATATACCATATTTTTACGCTATTTGAGAACGAATAGCGGCCATTTTGTCATTCAATTTTGGGCCGATTATCACGAAATTCAAACACAGCTGTCCTCAGGGTGTAACGGTGATATAATAATACGTTTTTTTAAATCGGATAAAAATTATGACCTCTATAGGGGCCACAAGCTAAAAACGCGATTTTTCGTACAATCAGGGGCCATAATTCACGAGGAAGTTACGGTCCGATATGCGCGAATATTGAAAGGGTTCGAGATCTTTGGGTTATAAACTTACATTTTAAGTTTCAACAAAATCGAATAACCAGCGGCTACCAGGCAGGATACTCCCACATTTTCGAGATATGGATAGAGAACAAGCTAAAAAGAAAGTGATTTTTCCAACAATCAAGGGCCATAATTCATGAAGTTACAATTCGATATGCGCAAATATCGAAAGGAACCGAGATCTTTGGGTTATAAACATGCATTTCAAGTTTCATCAAAATCGGATTAAAATTGTGACCTCTACAGGGTCCACAACCTTGATATACCATATTTTTACACCTTTCGCGTACAAGTGGCGGCCATTTTGTCCGTCAGTTTTAATTTGATTTTCAGGAAATTTGATCTCAACCTTTATTATGGTGATACGGTGATATAACTGTGCCCTTCAGAGGGACCACCAGCTAAAAAAGGCGATTTTTCGAATAATCAGGGGCCATAATTCAGGAAGTTACGATCAGATATGCTATTTGAGAAGGAACGGCGGCCATTTTATCTGTCAATTTTGGGCCAATTTTCACGAAATTTGAACTCAGTCATCCTTAGGGTGTAACGATGATATAATAATACGTTTTTTTAAATCGGATAAAAATTATGACCTCTATAGGGTCCACAAGCTAAAAACGCGATTTTTCGTACAATCAGGGGCCATAATTCATGAAGTTACGGTCCTATATGCGCGAATATCGAAAGGAACCAAGATTTTGGGGTTATAAACTTACATTTCAAGTTTCAACAAAATCAGATAAAAATTGTGACCTCTATAGTGTCCACAACCTTGATATACCATATTTTTACACTATTTGAGAACAAACGGCGGCCATTTTGTCTGTCAATTTTGGGCCGATTTTCACGAAATTCGAACTTAGCCATCCTTAGGGTGTAACGGTGATATAATAATAAGGTTTTTTAAATCGGATAAAAATTATGACCTCTATAGGGTCCACAAGCTAAAAACGTGATTTTTGGTACAATAAGGGGTCATAATTCAGGAAGTTACGGTCCGATATGCTCAAATAGCGGAAGGAACCAAGATCTTTGGATTATCAACTTAGATTTCAAGTTTCAACAAAATCAGATAAAAATTGTGACCTCTATAGTGTCCACAAGCTAAAAACGTGATTTTTCGTACAAACAGGGGCCATAATCCATGAAATTTCGATCCAATACATGGCAATATTGAAAGGAACCGAGATCTTTTGGATAAGAAATGTGACCTGTAGAGTGTCCACAAACAAATTGTGGACAGGGGCGACGACAATATACGTCCACATGAAAATGTGGGCGTATAAAAATTGTGACCTCTATAGGGTCCACAACCTTGATATACCATATTTTTACGCTATTTGAGAACGAATAGCGGCCATTTTGTCATTCAATTTTGGGCCGATTATCACAAAATTCGAACACAGCTGTCCTCAGGGTGTAACGGTGATATAATAATACGTTTTTTTAAATCGGATAAAAATTATGACCTCTATAGGGGCCACAAGCTAAAAACGCGATTTTTCGTACAATCAGGGGTCATAATTCACGAGGAAGTTACGGTCCGATATGCGCGAATATTGAAAAGGTTCGAGATCTTTGGGTTATAAACTTACATTTTAAGTTTCAACAAAATCGAATAACCAGCGGCTACCAGGCAGGATACGCCCACATTTTCGAGAGATGGATAGAGAACAAGCTAACAAGAAAATGATTTTTCCTACAATCAAGGGCCATAATTCAGGAAATTACAATTCGATATGCGCGAATATCGAAGGGAACTGAGATCTTTGTGTTATAAACTTACATTTCAAGTTTCAACAAAATCGGATAAAATTTGCGACCTCTGTAGGGTCCACAACCTTGATATACCATATTTTTACGCTATTTGAGAACGAACAGCGGCCATTTTGTCTGTCAATGTTGGGCCGATTTTCACGAAATTCGAACTCAGTTCTTCTTAGGGTGTAACGTTGATATAATACGGTTTTTGAACTCGGATAAAAATTATGACCTCTATAAGGTCCACAAGCTAAAAACGCGATTTTTCGTAGAATCAGGGGCCATGATTCGGGAAGTTACAGTCCAATATGCGCGAATATCAAAAGGAACCAAGGTTTTTGGGTTATAAACTTACGTTTCAAGTTTCAACAAAATCGGATAAAAATTATGACCTCTATAGGGTCCACAAGCTAAAAATGTGATTTTTCGTACAATCAGGGGCCATAATTCAGAAAGTTATGGTCCGATAAGCGCGAATATCGAAAGGAACCGAGATCTTTGGGTTATAAACTTACATTTCAAGTTTCAAAAAAATCGGATAAAAATTGTGACCTCTACAGGGTCCACAACCTTGATATACCATATTTTTACACCTTTCGCGTACAAGCGGCGGCCATTTTGTCCGTCAGTTTTAATTTGATTTTCAGGAAATTTGATCTCAACCTTTATTATGGTGATACGGTGATATAACTGTGCCCTTCAGAGGGACCACCAGCTAAAAAAGGCGATTTTTCGAATAATCAGGGGCCATAATTCAGGAAGTTACGATCAGATATGCGACAATATCGATAGGAACCAAGATCTTTAGGTTATAAACATGCATTTCAAGTTTCATCAAAATCAAATTATGACCTCTATAGGGTCCATAAGCTAAAAACGCGATTTATCATACAATCAGGGGCTATAATTCAGGAAGTTATGGTCCGATATCTGCGAATATCGAGAGGAACTGAGATCTTAGGGTTATAAACTTACATTTCAAGTTTCAACAAAATCGGATAAAAATTGTGACCTCTATAGAGTCTACAAGCTAAAAACTTGATTTTTCGTACAAACAGGGGCCATAATCCATGAAGTTTCGATCCGATACATGCCAATATCGAAAGCAGCCGAGATCTTTTGGTGATAAATCTATATTTCAAGTTTCGTCAATATCGGACAAGAATTGTGACCTGTAGAGAGTCCACAAACAAATTGTGGACGGACGGACGTCCGGACAGACAGGGGCGAGGACAATATACGTTCACATGAAAATGTGGGCGTATAAAAATTGTGACCTATATAGGGTCCACAACCTTGATATACCATATTTTTACGCTATTTGAGAACGAGGGACGGACATTTTGTCTGTCAGTTTTAGGCTGATTTTCACGAAATTCGAACTCAACCATCCTTAGGGTGTAACGGATGGACCTGTAGAGTGTCCACAAACAAATTGTGGATGGACGGATGGACGAACAGGGGCGACGACAATATACGTCCATATGAAAGTGTGGGCGTATTTAAATATGAATTTGTGATACCCTTGACTTATAATTTGATAGATTCCCAAATAAAGTTTCGCTAATAAATTTTTTCATTAACTCACAGTAGCGTCTGAAATGGATCACATACTCTGATGCGAACCCTGTTATTTTATAAACTGCCACTTAATTTTTATTGACTTTTGGTTTCCTATATCAATTAACTTACAACGTCCCTTGACCATTGCAGCCTCCACTCCATAATTAAAACTCAAAATCAATATTAATACAGGTCCCAACATCTTTCATATATATATATATCAAATATATATGTTCACTAATTCTTCTAAAATATTATAACTGGTACATCTCTAGAAAATAAGAATAATGTAACATTATATACATGTACAAACACATCTAAACTAGCAGTGAAAGTATAAATTTATTATTTGCTAACACATACATTAATTCTTTCGAAATACCATAAAATTGGGAAACTTTTTTTCTTTCAACCCTGATAAATACAAAACTTGATCGCACAAACATTTTCATCCGTGTAAAATAATCAGACCTACATGTACGGAACTTCAGATGAAAACTATGGCTCATCTCTGTGTGAACTTTTGTTTTTTTTTGATAAATGAGCTTCAGGCCCCAATTTGCCAACGACCAACGTGCCCATATCAGTATGGGCACCACATAAAGCAAAGTGTTATTGGTTGGGCGCCCACGACGAGATTGGCGGGGCGTCCAACCAATATCACTTGGTTTTATGGGCGCCTCGCCAATCATGTCGTTATATGAGGCACCCCCAAATGGTGAGGCGCCTCATAATGACTCACACGATTAACACCACAACTTGATTGATGGGGCGCCCAAAACGGCATGATTGATGGAGTGCCTCATACCGGGGGGCGCACCGATAATGCCGATATTAGCGGGTCGCCCCGGCCGAGATCATCGGCGCCCATGATATAATTGGCGGGACACCTACAATGCCAAGTGAGATTGGTTAGGTGCCCAATTTGAACTCAACCAACATTATGGTGTAACAGTGATATATTGAAACGTGTTTTTAAATCGGATAATTATTGTGACCTCCCGAGGGACCACAAGCTAAAAGCATGATTTTTCGAACAATCAGGAGCCATAATTCAGGAAGTTACGATCCGATATGCCTGAATATCGAAAGGAACCAAGATCTTTGGGTTATAAACATGCATGTCACGATTCATCAAAATCGGGTGAAAATTGTGACCTCTAGCATGTCCACAAGCTAAAAATGTGATTCTTCGTACAATCAGGTGCCATAATCCATGAAGTTATGGTCCGATATATGCCAATATCAACAGGAATCAAGATCTTTTGGAGATAGACCGATATTTTAAGTTTCATCAAAATCGGATAAAAATTGTGACCTGTAGAGTGTCCACAAACAAATTGTGGACGGACGGACGGACAGGGGCATAATACATGTACGTCCACATGAAAATGTGGGCATATAAAAACACTAGTTAATGCTTTGGTCACTTCTAGATTGGACAATTTTAATCTGTTATTAGCTGGTCTTCCTGCCAAACTTTTAGGTAAACTTCAACAAGTCCAAAATACAGCTGCATGTCTTATTACACGCATTAAAAAATATGACCATATTATCCCAATTTTAAAAAATATACGTCCACATGAAAATGTGGGAGTATAAAAAGATGATTTATCATATACAACCAGGGGCCATAATCAATGAAGTTACTGTCCGATACATGCCAATATCGAAAGGAACCGCAATCTTTGGGATATAAACCTAAATTTCAAGTTTCGTCAAACCCGAATACACATTGAGACCTGTAGAGCAGGGTTCTTAAACCATATTGAAAGAAGTGGCCAGAATTGGGTCAAATGAGGTCCCGGTATGAAATATAAGCTTCCATTCCCTTAAATATAACCAGACTTCAACAAAGAAAATTATTTGTAATTTGTTACAAGAATGTCATATTCTAAAATATGTGACTACCACAAATATAACAAGCCAACAGTGAGGCTGATGATCCCCCGCTGAAATCCCAAAATAAATAGATGACACATATTAATTAATCGCACATTTATTTTTTTCAAAAGTATCGAGCAATCAAACTATACACTAAGTTTCATCACTCTCTATCAGATAGAATCAAGATTATCTGGCTCCAAAGCATCGACCCATGAAATTGATGAGCTCTGCTTAGCTTCAGCTCCAAATGTTAATCATTGAACTCAGTCAAGACATTCACCTAATGAACATCTATATCAAGTTTAAACATTCTACCTCAATTAAAAGCAGAGTTGTTATGTTCCAAAGTCTTGACCAATCAAATTGCTTATCGCTCCTTAGCCTAAGCAGAAAATTCTCACCATCGAACTTAGTCAAGGTAATGATATAATGAATCTATATTCGGAGTTTCATCGCTCTCACTTCATTATAACCAAAGTTATCGTGCCCCAAGGGGCCCAAAGCATCAACCAATCAGATTGGTTATCTCTGTTTACCATAAGCAGACAATGTTCATCATCGAACTCCATCACAAAGTTTGAACATTCTACCTCAATTAGAAGGAGAGTTATTGTGTTCCAAAATCTCAACCAATCAAATTGCTTATTGCTCTGCTTACCCTCACACGATTAACACCACAACTTGAATGATGGGGCGTCCAAAACGGCATGACTGATGGTGTGCCTCATACCGGAGGGGGGGCACCCATAATGCCGAGATTACGGGCCCCCATGATATAATTGGCGGGACGCCCAAAATGCCGAGTGAAATTGGTCAGACGCCCACATATGAATTGGGTGCCCATAGCGGCGTGATAATCTTCAAAATTCAAACAAGTCTCACTCTGACCAGATTCCGAACTTTTTGTTTTTCTCATAAATTATTATAGGTACAAGTCGTATTCCTGCCTTCAAATTTTTATAATGTTCATATCAAAATATCATAATACTCCAATATTTCAAATTCAGCCTCTAAATTGAAATTTTCCGTCATTTTCAGGAGCAAACCCTATTTTCCAAACTTTTCTGGGGGATCATGTGTAGGTACATCGGCGCCCCCAGAAGCCTTTGCCCCACCCCCACCAACAATTGTGGGCTAGCTACAATAAAGATTTTGCATGGATTTCTCGCGGAGACGTTCTAATTATCAAAAGGAAAAGACCTTTGGAATATAAACACAAATTTAAGTTTCATCAAAATCGGATAAAAATTGTGACCTCAAAGGGGGCCCACAGCCTTGGCATTACATACTTTTACACCATTTGCATACAGGTAGCGGCCATTTGGTCAGGCAGTTTTGGTCAGTTTTTCACGATATTCGAACTTACCTCTTGTTATGGTGTAACGGTGATACATTTAAATGCTTTTTAAAATTGGATAACAATTTTGACCTCTAGAGGGTCCACATGCTAAAAATGCGATTTTTCGGGAATATCGAAAGGAATTGTGATCATTGGGATATAAACATCAAGTTTCATCCTTGGTTTTACAGGCTTTTATACAATTTGCGTAGTTACATGTCATTGTTGGTCGGGAAATGCCTGGTACTCTTTTACCTCGGGAATCAAACAGGAATGTGATGTTTTTTTAAGGAAAAAAAATCGTTCACACCTCCTCTGCAGTCAAAAATACACAATATCTATTGTGAACTAAAATTATTTGCCGTATGATCATCAGTTATTAAATGTTGACTGCGATATAATTGCCAAACTGGGTCGGCACCTGTATTATATCTATGTCAGAATGGTTCATGCATTAATGATACGACATCAAAGCGATGGCTTCCCACCTACAACAGTGGCAATCACTTGGTATTCTCCCCCCATTCCTCGCCCCCCTCCCCTTCAATCTCAATCACGCATATCCCAAAAATGCCGCAAAGTAATAAGATTTGGAACTATTTCACATCAGCGACAGTGATCAAAAGAGGACAATTGTTTATTTCATAGTTTATAAATTTTAAATAAAAATTCAAAAGCCTAAATGGGTACTACTGTTCGAGTTTGTGATCTCTTATTTCTGGTATAAGTCCACTGCATAATTTGTTATGGAGATCGAATTTCATATTCTAATATATGTGATTACCACAAAAATAACGACAAATAGGTACACCATTTGAAAATTTTCCATATTTAATTCACGTACCGGCTTGAAGTCCATTAGTGTATTTATTTAATAATTCAATGAAACGTTCATGTTTCATCAGTCGATCTAAAATATTAGCATTTTTCTTACTATTGCCGGTATCAGAAAGTGCCATAGCCAAAATAAGCTGATACGGCACCATGGCATTTCATCACAACAAAATTTGTAGTTTTTGTCTATCACGTAACTTGGAACAGTTTTTATTCATTCGTCAATTATAGGCCGTGGTGTGAAATTTCTAGCTAGCTTGCTTCTGTTTCTCCGTCCCGACCATTTTCGGGTGAAAAAAAAACTACATCATCTAATTCTTCTAGTATTACTTTTATCAATTCTTTGACGTTTGATAGAAAACGTAAATTAAATATGGGCTTACTTGTCAATGTGCAATGGTATTTGAATTTCGCGGTGACTCGCTTTAAACAGATCTTGTGACATAATTGGCCAATCAAACATACACGACGAAAAGTTCAACAGGTCATGTGGTGAAAGGTCACCTGCTCTTTGTTTACGTTTTGATATTAACGGTACATGGCGGAAGGATAGCTAAAGTAAAACTGCATAGCTCAAGTACATTTTGTTAAAACACTGAGCTAAAACCGTTCACTGTGACAAGCTGGGAAAAATTTAAGGTATGTGCTAACCAGTGGATCAAATTAGATGGAAATGTGCCGGAGACAAATGCCGATTTGCTGGACAAAGCTGAATCAGAACTCCAGTCAGGAATGTGCAGACAAAACTCTCACTGGACTGGGGTATGGAAGAGGCTACTAGGCCTACTTATCACATTCCACGTTACCAAACTGTGTATGAAACATTATCACGATTCCTAAATTGTTGAGAAAGTGATGTTTAGAGAAAAAAAAAAAAAAAAAAAAAACCTGTTGAACTTTTCGTCTGGTTAATTTGTTTAAGGGGATCAGATCATATCTTAACATTTTCCCCATTTTCTTGCAAATGCAAGCTGATGAAGATATTCTCCCAAATGCATGACAACCCAGACCAAGGACTACTCCGCCCAAGACCACTCAGACCAATAGAGAAGTCCACTCAGTCAAAGACAGAAGACCACTATGGTTAAGACTGTATCATCATTATTGAGGTGAAATACAATGTGCAGTACTCATACCCAACTAGTTGTTATGACACAAACTAGGTCATTTTGGGACTAACATATGGTTTAATTTTTTTATTTCAATAATTTGCTTGCGCGTAGGGGTCTTTAACAGTGGGAGGAAAGGGGAGGACCCAGAGAAAACCCATGAGGTTGGACAGGCGACCCTACTCCTTGTCACGTACAACCGGGGATTCGAAACCACGCCTGTTGACTCAATGACAGGCTTTATGATACAGTGCGCAAGTGCTAACAATTCGGACATCCAACCCCAATGTTATGGAGAAAATTAGAACCGAAATAGATGAGTTGGTACAAGTGCACTTACTTTTTTTGAAAAAAGTATGTATGAAGAATTATTTCTGCCAGTCAAAAAGGGGGCATATTCTGGCGCATTCCTCCCAGGTTGCCTGACTGTAGCTGTGGAAATTTAAACCCCTTTTGTTAAACTCTATTGAACAAATAACAGGGTTAGGGTGACTAGAGATCAAGCACCAAACAAAATTTTCAATGTGAATGTAATAAATGTGACAGACAAAATGGCCGCCCTTCGTTCTCAAATAGCGTAAAAATATGGTATATCAAGGTTGTGGATCCTATGGAGGTCACAATTTTTATCCGATTTTGTTGAAACTTGAAATGTAAGTTTATAACACAAAGATCTCGGTTCCTTTCGATATTTGCGCATATCGAATTGTAATTTCCTGAATTATGGCCCTTGATTGTAGGAAAAGTCACTTTCTTTTTAGCTTGTTCTCTATCCATCTCTCGAAAATGTGGGCGTATCCTCTCTGAGAGCCGCTGGTAATTAATATAGAGTGAAGCGTAACTAAAACTGTAACCACAGAGTGTTGATTAAAAAAAAAAATCAGACCGGAACCGGATACACTGGGGAATAATGGCAATGCGCATGCCAACTTGCGAGATTACGCGACTCATAGAAATATTTTTATGATGCGTTTAATCAATGACGTCACACTTTTTTGTTCTTTTTTTTTTCTTTAACAAAATTAATCATATAATTTAGATCTAAATTAAATTCAATTCGGAAAAACAAGATTATTTAACATTAGGCCTACTTGTATCACTTGAGAAACTTTTATCAGCTTCGCTCTACTCCGGCAATGCCTGTTACATATTACAGGTAGTACTAGATGTAGTAGGCTATATTTGCCGGCAATTTGGCAAATATGTTTTACTTTTACCATGGAGCGCCCTATCTGAATCTGTACGTCACAGTGGCCTGTTACAGCATATCCTACCTGTAGTTACCGGTAGCCTACTTTATCAGGCCCGACCGGTATAGCTACCGATAATTCAATGCCATAATTAAGACACTATTAAACTTCGTCTAAAACTTACTTAATTGGTAATAGTAATAGGTGTCCTTCCAAAGCTGACGCCATCTTGAATTTCTGACAGGGACTTCTTACCTGTACAGTCTAAACCACGCGATAAATGTAAATAATATTTACCCATAATAATCATAATAAATGTTTATAAGCTCACTTAATTCTGCTCTCTTTATTTTCAAAAACTTTATAAATAGAAACTACATATTGATCACGATTACTCATCGTGAATTCAATAATGAAACAAACATTTATCGGCTGGTCCCTATTTAATCAATGATGCGTAATTTGACTCGCGTGGGGAAAAAGGTTAGAGGGACCAGATTACAGAGGGTGCGTATCAGTTCATCCCACGACCGGCCCTTATGAAAAAGTCCTATAGAAAAAGTACAGGTTTCTATAGAATTTTGTGGGATTCTATAGAATATTATAGAATGCTGCAGGACAACGAATTCATACTGTAGTTTTTTTCACATGACTATACATTAAAAAACATGTACTATAGTTTTGTGTAGGATTGATAGATGAATATTTTCCAAGTGCAATTTCCTATAGAATTCTGTAAGAAACTATTGGAAAAAAATAAACCTACAGATTTGGTAAAATCTAAAGTTTGCTATAGAACTAACTTGTATTCTCATGTCAGCTGTGGTTCCTATAGATTTGGTGGTAAAAACTATAGTTTTCTATAGAACTAACTTATTGTCTCAAGTCAGTTGTGTAGTCCTATAGTTTTGTATGACACTCTGTAGAAAACTATGGAAAATTTTTTTTTTTTTTATAGATTTTGTGGAGAAAAATATAATGCATGAGCCTTCTATAGTTTTCTGTAGAATTTATATGTATACTGTACTTAAACCATTTTAACAAATAGCCTACTATAGTTTCCTACATAATGATGTAGAAACAATGTTCTATACTAAAGATTTCACAAATTGGCGATGTCTTTTATTCGTACTATATAGTTTACAATAGAATTTAGTGATGCACTTGTGTGAATCGTGTAAATGTTTCCAACATAATTTTCCTGAATGCAGTTTTCCTTAATTTATTGTGATACCAAATGAAAAACTAAAATAAGCTTAAACCCCGAAAAATAAAATATAAAGTATAAAACAGTGTATATAATATGAATCAAATAGTGATACATGTTGACACTCAAAGGAATTCACCACCCCACCCTCCCAAAAATGCCAGTAAATGTAGATCTATACAAAACAAATATCAGATAATACATTATTCTTCAGATAAGTCAATGAAATAAAGTTTATTTGAACACAGTCTGACTGTTAGGTGATCCTGCTAGTTAGATTTTAATGACTATAGCAGATTCTGTACTCAAATTATATAATTTGTTGAAGCCACCAGGTCAACCGTGCATACCTGTCAATAAACTATAATTAACAGCCAATGTACTCCCTTGAAATCAGTTTGGCTATTGGCTGAATTTTAAATTCAAAAATTCAGTGTATAACAACTTAATATGTTAGTATTAACAAGAAACTAAAGAGAATATCGTGCTGTTTTTTCACAGATTCGATTAAAGATAGAAAGATAAGTATACTTTATTACTTCCTTAACAATAATATTAAATTACATTAATTAGATAAGATTTATGTGATTTAACTTTATTACCTATTCTGTTCCCTATATTTCAGTTATACCAAGAAAAAAAACTTTTCATGCATGGTTCCGGCTGGTGAATCATCAACAGAATTCAGATTTAATCCATGAGAGAAAAAATAAGCTTATCAATTTAGAAGAATCCATGAGAGAAAAATAAGCTTATCAATTTAGATGAAATCATGGGCCAACTATATTTATTCCCAAAATAAGAATTAATAAAAAAAAAGTCTATAGACTTCTATAGTACCCATTCCTACAGAAAACTATAGTGGCCCAATTTCCAAACTACAGTATTCATTCCTATACATAACTGTAGAATTTCCTACAGAAAGTGCAATAAAAAAAACCCTATAGAATACTATAGTATTTTCATAATTAAATATTGCCATAAATCTGTAGGAAAAACTATAGGATGTTCGCTACAGAAACTGTAGAATATTTGGGACCATTATTTCCTACAGGCCCCCCAAATTCTGTAGAATACTATAGAATTTTATCCAATAGAAAATTGGACACGCCTGCACAAAACTCTATAGATTTTCTATAGAATACTACACTGGTATTCTGTAGGACTTTTTTGCTAAAGTGGGGGACAGACGAGCGTATTTTTTCGCCCGATCGCGGCGATTTTTAAAATCGCTCGAAAAATACGCCCGTGTGCCCCTTCAGGGCGACGACGATTCTGCTCGGCGAACCATTCGCCCGATCAATCGCTCGTATCTAGCATGTTAGATATTTTCGGCCGAATATTTTTCGCCGGCAATTAAATTCGCTCGTGTGCCCGTGTCCAGCGCATATATTGTCGGGCGATTCATTTTTATAAGCCAATCATCGAGATCGTTGATATCACATGATCTCAAAATGGCTGCCATTTTGTACAAGTCACGTGATCGAATAGTCATGTGATCGACATAATTACTCACAAAGTGGCGTACGCTCACACACAGAGGTTAATTAGTACTCGTACTGATAACACCTAATGCACCAGAGCTCCAAAGCTATCGACTAAATTTATCTCAGATAAAGTAGCCTAGCTAAGACTCCAAAAAGACTTCTCAAACCCAGAAAGACCACTAGATACTACAAAGATCATCTAGTCCAAAATAGATTTAAGGTTGTCTTTGTTTTTATTTTTATACCTTCACAAGGTATAAGGTTTATTTTCTTTATATTTTATCATTCTTAATTTATCTTATTTAATTTTACTTTATTTTCTTTAATTTACTTTATTTTCTTTTCCTGACCTCCTTCCCCAGTGCTTTATTGTTAGGATATTATTTTTACCTTATTTCTATATATTAGATAAGCTAATTTTCTTAAATTCTCCTTCTATTTCATATTTCTCCACTCCTAATCTAATCTATTTTTTGTTACTTCTTCTTTTTACCCCTTTTTTCAACTCTATATACCACCTTCCTATCTTTATTTATTTATTTATTTCTATTTTTCTCTTTTCTGTATCTATTTAATCATTTCACTTTTCTTTCTATCATCTACTAACAAAGAAGCTCAGTGTACAAGCCAATCAACTGATTGAACTCGTCACAAGCTTCTTAAAACAATAACAAGCTAATTTATTTCTATAGCTAATAAGCCTGATAACTGTTAAGTACGCTCATACAAGCAATAGGAACCCATAGTTAATTAGTATTAATTACACTGATTGACTAGCGCTTCTTTGTGGAAAGGGGTAACAACAGGTATATCAGCTTACGTCATTAATTAATGACAGAATACATCCTTAATCAACACTGTTCAGTCCCTCCTTTTGTTTTCGATTATATCTTTCGGCAGCATAAGAACGATGGCGACAGAGGCTACCGCACCCATGTCCATGGCTGACGCTTTTTACAGCAGCTCTGCACCGAAGTTCTTTCCTGCGGCAAAAAGGAGAGAGGAACAGCCTCACGTCGTACTAGTGAGGCCACTGGAAGGCAAGTCCTTTCAAGGAGCCAAACTTACGGCTGTGGGGAAGGAACTAAAGAGTAAGTGGGGTATTACTAACATACCCGACTTAAAGATCACTGTGTCAGGCCAACTTAGACCTACCTTAAAAAGTAGGTCTGAGATGGATCTGGCGCTGGCTCAGAACGTACCTCTCGGTATGACCGTGACGGTGTCCGAACCGATCACCTTGTCTATTGATAAGGTGGTTGTTCATGGGATACCGGCCGAATATAACGGGGAGGAAATTCTGGAAGATCTTACAGAGAGGGGGTACCATGCTACCGAGGTATATCGGTTTAATGTGGCCCAGGGGAAGGATCAGGGAAGCGTCGCCCTATCCTTCAAGAAAGGTACCGCACCTGAGGCCCTTAAAATCGTGTTCCTCAATCGCCGTACCCACCCCTATGTTCAGCGGGTGAGGCAGTGCGCCAACTGTCAGAAACTAGGACATACGGTAAAGTACTGTAAGGGAAAAGCCGTATGCATCCAATGCGGAGGAGAACACGCGTTGGCTGAGTGTAGGGTGGGTAGCAAAATTAACTGCTCAAACTGCAAGGGCAGCCTCGCAGCCAACTCCCCGCAATGCCCAAGAATACAAGCGACCAAAGCAGTGCTACGTCTGCAAAGCAAAGATAAACTTACCTTTAGGGAGGCAACCCAGCAAGTAAAGAACAAGGAGAGAGAAGCAAAAGTAGTCAGAGAACCGGTGGTGGAACCAAAACAAGCTCCAGCACCGACTCCGATGCAACCCCCACCCCTAAAGGTAAAGACAAGGAGAAGAAAACATTTACCAAACCTGTAGAGGTCAAACAGAAGACAAATCCATCAAAGAAGAAAGAAGAGGAACCGAAAACGAAGATTCATGAAGAACACTTCATTCCTAAATTTAAAACGGAAAGTGGCTTCATGAACTTCATGATCGAGTTCCTCAGGGTGGCCGTATCCAATGAGGACCAAACTACTAAGATGGCAAGCCTACTCGACAAAATAAAGACACACATGGTCAACGCCGATGTCCTGTGTGTCATGATTAATTCAATCAACACGGTAAAAAAAAAGATCAAGAGAAGACGACGGCGAAGAAACCACAAAAGGCGATCAAACGGCAAACCTCGCACTCCGTAGAAGGATATCTCATGTTCGTCACTACAGCACTGACGATATGCCCAGTTGCTTGCCGGTTTTAACACCAAAGACGAACACTAATGAGGTACCTCCTATGGAATGTGAAACGCCAATTGACCAATAAATAGACAAGACAATAAATAGACTAAACGTTAATGGACTGGCTCCCAGATGTGCTGAGCTGAGAAAATACATCACCCGCAACCCGAAAGATGTAATATGCCTCCAAGAAACCAAGCTACTACCAACCAAGAACGACATCTACTTGCCCGGATACACTTGTCAATGAAGGGACAGACCGAGCAGCACGACACGTGGCGGCGGTCTTGCCATCTACGTCAGTGATAACTTAAATTATATTTCTGTTTCGCTTGACGTAGAGGATCCTCTAGAAGCAATGGGCATAGCCATCACATTGAGCAATAATACAAAATTCACACTAGTGAATGTCTATGTACCCCCAGATGTCACGAGAAAACCAGTTGACTTCCAGTCACTTCTCGACCAGCTTCCTCAGGGCGAATTTGTGTTTTGCGGGGATTTCAACGCAAAACACGTCCTGTGGGGGTCACCGAGGAATGACTGTCGGGGGATTAGCCTATGCTAATGAGGAAAATAACGGGCAGCACTTGGGGGGCCAACAGAGTCACACTAATGATGGTGTATCGTGCTCTAATACGATCTGTATTAGACTACGGCTCTCTGGCCTTCATGAACTGCGCGCCATTACTCTTAAGGAAGCTTGACACCATCCAATACAAAGCTCTGTGTATTGTGACTGGCGTAGGGCAAGGGACTGGGAGAGAGGCACTACTGCAAGAAGTCGGGGAGTTGCCCCTATCCCTAAGAAGAAAAGAACTAGCGACAAGGTACTGGGCTAAGATCTCGCAACTGGGCGAAAGATCCCCAACCTTTGTCA